GGCCGCCGCCGCCGCCGCGCTCCTCCTCCTGCTCGGGGCCGCCGCGCTCCTCCTCCTGCTCCGGCGGCCCACAGCCAGCTGCTTCCCGCGCCTGCCGCCTCGCGCCAGGCGCCGCGCCGCCACCACTGCCACCCTCAAAGCCCCGCGGCCCACCCTGGTCCCATCCGCCAGGCCCGGCCAGGCCACCTGCAGTCGGACCCGGGTCTTCCCTGAGGTGAACAGCCTGAGGAGCCGCGAGTACTGGGACTACGAAGCCCACGTCCCGAGCTGGGGGTAAGGCCGCCGCCGGCCACCCCCCGCGCGAACCGCACCCGGACGGCCGCTCGGCCTCGGGGCTGGCAGGGAGGCCGGGCCCCGGTCGCACGTGTCCCCAGCCTCTCCTGGCCGCCCTGCCCCGGTCCCCGGCTCAGCAGCCGGTGGGGAGAAGCGTGGGGTCAGGGTTGGGGGCGGCCCTTCCTCCTCACACTTTGGGCTTCCTATGGGCTGGGGAGTCCATGGCTGTCCTCTTGAGCTGTTAAAATCTCTACCTTTTTACTTTCTGAAACGAGGCCGGGTGGGAGGAACATTTTGAACACGGACAGATTCTCTAAAGCAGGCAGTGGCCCCCTGGAGGGTGTGAAATGGGAGGCAGGTGCTGTGGAGCCGCGGGCAGGCGGGCACCCCAGTACCACCAGGGGAGATGCTTTGCTCAGTCCCCTTAACGAGGCTCATAAGGCCTCATAGCTGTCCTTTCCTCCCCTTGTTTAAAGTCAGTTAGGTTAGGAGCTCTGCAGATCGAAGGGAGCCAAGTTTGTATGTGCCTTTCATTTAGAGAATGAGCTGAGGTGTGATGTTAGGAACACTTCCAAATGCTTGATTAGTTGGAGTTGGTGGATGGATGTATAGTGGACACAGGCTTGCTTAATCCCAAATCCTGGGCATTTATGTATATCTCTTGCCTTTCACAGTAATCAAGATGATTACCAACTGGTTCGAAAACTTGGTCGGGGCAAGTATAGTGAAGTATTTGAGGCCATTAACATCACCAACAATGAGAGGGTGGTTGTAAAAATTCTCAAGGTGAGTGTCCTACAGTGTCGTGTAACCTCTTCCCCCAAAGGGCAAAAGGACCAGCTATTCCAGAATAAGTGATTCTAGCTTTTAGGTGTCTCCTACAGCACTCCTACCATGTTTTTCCTGTGAACTTTTGAGAAAATATGAAGGCTGATCGGTCTTAACTCTGAGTCTGATAGGTCAGGAACATTGAAAGTGTAAATTCTGAACTTCTCAAACAAAGCTTTGGAGACGGCTGTATCTGATGCAGAATACAAAGGTGCTTGCGTTTGCACGGAGAATCTGTCATGTAGGGCTCCTATATTGTTGTGCTCCTTACTCTGTGCTCCCAGTTACTCCAGAAAGTAAGTTGTACAAAAAACCCAAAACAAAACTCGAGTCTGCTCAGAGATAAGTTTAAAGCCAAAAATGCAGAACAACTCCCCAAGTTGATATTTTCATTTCATTTAGCAGTAAAGTTTCAGGTGGGCTAGATACAGCAAGCCAGCCTCTAAAAGAGATTTGGGGCAACAGAAGAATACATTCTAGCCCCTGAAATACTAACTGGAACAAAACTGTCTCGGTAGCAAGACTAGCCCTCTCGCTTTGATAATGATAGGGCTTTTGTTATCACTCAAATGAAGACATGATCTTAATGAGCATGAAAAGTCAGCCAAGTTTCTGTACAGGTGATTGAAGATTAAATAGTGCTTTGTAGGTTGTACAAGAAAGTGATCCTTAGGACCTGAGCGGTTCTTCATGGTTGTCAGGTCATTGAATGCATATGCATGTCACCTTAGGATCTGGGCAGTTCTTCCTGTTGTCAGATCACTTAACATGTATGTGTGTCACTAGTGAAAGACAGAACGCTGGAGAGGTAATATTTCACCTAATTTTCACAGTGCCCACTGAACAAAAAGCTGGGATTGAAAAGCTTGTGCCTTAGGCCAGTCCCCATTTAGTTGTAGTGTAGATTTTAGCATTGTGTAAATGTCTTCCAAAAAATGGCTGCTGCTAATGCTCCTTATATCCTAGCCTAGGGATAAAGGAGCAGCATTGCTGTAGAGACAGGTGATGCTATGGCTGCTGCCCAAGACACTGTGGTGAGAAGTAAGGAATGATGTTGAAGGTAGGAAGCTTGGCCCCACTAAGTATGAGTTGTGCATAGGAGGTCTGTAGTTATGGGAGGGGTGTGTTTTAAGCAGAGAAATGTTTCCTTCAGGGAACTTGCTGGAGGAAACCATACAATCTCATTACTTACATAAACGTGTTTGAATAGAAGTTACTTCAGACATTTTCATTTTAAGGAATAAGCAAAGCAAGCGTAGTTAGGAATATCCATGTTTTGTTGCAGTACATTTGGAGGATTGAATTTGCCAAGTCTAAAGCAATTTCAGGGAAATGTCTAAATGTCTTTGTAATACATTTTTGGACTAAGTGCCATTTCCTGTGGAGTGTTTTGAAGGGAACAGTGCTCAGGTGTTATGAGTCCCAGTGTATTTAGGGAAGCATAGTATTATTCTCGATTGTTCTTGTGAAGAACTTCAGAGGTTAGTTGCTTGATAGTTTTTTCCTCTGCTCTAGAGAGCCTTTGCATATGTTTACCACATCCAGTATGGAAACTGCTTCAAATTATTTTTACAAATAAATGTGTAAAATGTGCAGACCTAGGCACAAAGAAATGTACCTGACATCATCACTTTGTTGAAATGACCCTTCACCAGAACTCTTGTTTCCTCTTTCTTCACACCTCTGAGTATGTTCATTCCAGCACTGGACTGTAGGATTAACATTGAACACAAAGTAAGTGTCAGGGTTCAAGCATAAGATTTGGGAGACCCCTTTCTTTGATGCTCTAGTTCATGCGGTGTTTGGTTTTTCTCAGAGGACAGTCTGAACTGCCTTATATTCCTTTGTCAAAGCCCTGTGGCATTTCTATGTAGCTTTTATTTATATTTGAAGGATAGAGTAAGAAACCACTAATTAATATTGTAGTTTTGTTTTTATAATGGATTTGAAGTATTTTTCAAAAAGAACAGAGACTTTATCCAAAGTTATACTTATTACTCAAATAAGTTATGACTAATACCTACGATTGTGATATTTTCTTAGAGGAAATTAAGCCCTTAGTAGTGCCAGCTGCTCAGTTTGGAGCAGTCTGGGAAAGGTTTGGTTTTCACATAAGCCTGCAGTATTTAACCTCCAGAAGGGACTAGGTGTACATGTGGTGACTGAGGCACAAGGTACAGGCACTCAGTGACACTTCATAGCAGTCTTTATCATTTTGTCACAGTTGGGTAGGTGAATAGTGATGGAGGACTTTGATTTCATTTAACGTGCATGTAAGATTTCTAAGTATTTCATTTGTCAAGTTGTGTTGAGGCTATTAGAGAGCTTTACAAATGTAAAAAGCTACTAGTGAAAGTTCTGTGGGTTTTTTTAGAATAAGGTAATACTCTTATTAATGATTTCTTTAATGTGTCTGTGTGAAAAAGTGAACGTGTGTGCAGGTCTGAGGTTAAATTTTAAAACTTTGTAGTGAATAGAGAAATCATGTCTTTTATTCTTTTAGAGGGGGTATCGGAAAATGTATTACCAAGGAAGGGAAATGCTTTTTTTGTTTGTTTTTTTGCTTTTCGAGACAGGGTTTCTCGGTATAGCCCTGGCTGTCCTGGATGGAACTCACTCTGTAGACCAGGCTGGCCTCAAACTCAGAAATCCTCCTGCCTCTGCCTCCCAAGTGCTGAGATTAAAGATGTACACCACCACTGTCCGGCAGGAAATGCTTTTTTAAAGAAAGGGTTTGTTTATGCAACAAGGTAGAAGGCTACTTCAGTGTCAAAAGTTTCATCTTGACTGTAAGCTGTCAATTCTTTAGTTTTTTTTTTTTTTTTGTAGTACTTAGAAAGGTGTACCCAGAAGTAAAATAAAAAGCATTAGTGAACATGGCTTGTGTGCACTTCTGGGGTCCTTGAGAGCTTTCAATTAAACTCCTGTTTACTGAGTACATGTCAAGAGCAATACGATTTTATAGAAAACAACCAAAGTGTTTTGAACCAGTGCTGCAGTGACTTGTAAATTCTCAACATAAGGCTCCTGTTAACAGCATTATTTTATATTAGAAACAGCCTGCCTGTCTGTTGCTTTCCTCTCTGAAAGTTCTTAATTAAGGCAATAGAGGTATTAACATTTGTCTTAAACATGTCTTACATATTTGCAGGGTTTTGTTTTGTTTTGTTTTATTGGTAGGACTAGGGTGGTTGCTCACTGGTAGAGTACTAGCTAGCAAGCTTGAGGTCCTGGATCTAGTCCTTACCCTTCTCAAACCTCAAAACATGGCAAAATAGAATAAAATTTTAGGTTCTTAAAAGGAAGATTGATACCGGGCAGTGGTGGTGCACACCTTTAATCCCAGCACTTGGGAGGCAGAGGCAGGTGGATTTCTGAGTTCAAGGCCAGCCTGGTCTACAGAGTGAGTTCGAGGACAGACAAGACTACACAGAGAAACCCTATCTTGAAAAACCAAAAAAAAAAAAAAGTATTGGAGTATTAGTAACATAAAGTGTTAGAAATTGTGTGTAAACTGGCCAGAGTTATTTGTAACATTGACACTATAGGGACATATGTAGAGAGTTGAGCAGAATCACAGAATGTACTTGCTTAGAATCCATTAGAAGCACACCAGACTGATTTCCTTAGTATCACAGAGTGAGTGCAGGCACTGTGACTAGGAATCTGTGTGTCACAGAGGAAATGGAGACGTTAGATGGTTGACTTCTTGGTAATTCTGACTTGTTATGGAAGAGTAGAAGGGCACTCACTGGAAGTAAAAGGGAACTGTCTCTGTCGAGTTACTCTTCTAAAGGGAATGGTTTGGAAGTTGGGCTTGATGTGGACTAGATTTGAGTAAGTTCTGTCTCAGGTCCCACAGAAGCATGCTTGCTGCTTTGTCTGCTCTAGATTTCAGGCCTTGGCGGTGGTTTTATTGTGTTTGGTTTTTACTTTTTAAAATCTCTTTCTTGCTTTCTTAGTTTCTTTGGGGGTAGACGGAGACGCGTGGTTCATGTGTAGAGTCGGAGGATGGCTTGCAGGCGTTGTTTCTCTCCTTCCATACTGTAGTACCAGGATTGAACTCGGGTCGCTGGCAGCCTGTGCTGTTAACCTGCTGAGACATCTTGTTGCTCATGCACCAGTTTCTTGAGAACAATGGTTCTCAACCTTCTAGTGCTGTGACCCTTTAATACAGTCCCTCATGCTGTGGTAACCTCCAGCCATAAAATTATTTTTATTGCTACTTTATAAGTATAATTTTGATACTGTTATGAGTCATTAAATATATCTGTGTTTTCTGATGGGCTCAGGTGACCCCTGTGAAAGGGTCATTTGACTCCCAGGTTGAGAACCACTGCTTTAGTCCCTTTGACCTATATAGTTTCTCCAAGTCTCACAACAGTTACTCATCAGATTTGGGGGTGTATAGTTTAATCCCTTTAATACATTAGAGAAAATCTGAGAGTGAATTGTGTGTGAAAAGTATACAGTGAGAGAGAATACCCATCCTTGTGTATGGCTCAAGGCTTCATGTAGCATGTACAACCTAGTTTATGGTTCTACTGTCTACCATTCATAATCTAAGTATAAACTGTTAGCCATGTGAGAACAGGTGAGGGCTTGAGGTCTACACGGTTCATTTACATGCTCTAGCTCTTTTTTTCCTCATCATTAAAATAGGATTATATGATGGAAAGGTAGATGGTATTATTGTCATCATTTGTAGTGTTTTGTTTTTTCAGAGTATGCCCAAAGAGTAAACTGCCTGAAATTTAGATGTCAGGTCCAATACTTAGCTCTATGACATTAGATGCTTTGGGTAAACTATAGGAAGAGAATTTACCCCAGAAGATTGAATGTGCCTAATAAGCTTGGTGCTGAGAGAGCAATATGATACAGTAATAACTGTTACAGTTGAACTAATTGAACAATTTTAAAGCAAAGCCAGTAGTCAAAGGGGTTGTAGCATTAACTTG